ACCTTATCCCTAATGTGAATGTTCGTTAAGTACTCAGATGGAACATGGAAGTCTAGATAATAAAATGAAAAGAGCCTTATTAACTGATTCTCAGAAATATCTTTATAAATGTTCAAACACAAACAGATTCTCCTACCTATATCTTGAGGTCGACATGGTGAAGATGCCCAGGGTGATGCAAATTTGGGGTAGAGATTTCTGAATAAGGGGAAAAAAAGAAGCCACTCTGAAGTCCAAAGCAGATGAAGAGATTTCTAACTTTGCCCTAAGTTAAATTACTTTCATATTTATGTTTAACACCAACCCCCACCATATTAGGAGCAAAATTTCAAATTGACCAAATATTTATTAAATGCCTATTACATTCCTGGAACTGTTCTAGGTGCTTGGAATAAAACAAAGATCGTGGATAACATAAAACTTACTTTCTGGTTAAGTACAGTGCATTGGAAGGAGGCAGACAATTAAGAGATAATGTGTGTTAAGAGAGGATCTGGAGGGGAAGACTAGTGGCATAGTTAAGTTGGTGATCAGTTTAGTCTCACTGAAAAGGTCACATTTGAACAAAAAAAAAAAAAAAAAAGAAATGAGGGAGACAATCACACCAATTATCTGGTAGAAGACTATGCTAATCAGAGGGAATTGCCAGAAAACTAAGACAGGGACACAACTGACATTGAGCTATAGCAAGAAGGCCAGTGAAGCTAGAACACAGTAAAAAAGGAAAAATCTGTTAAGATGGGGTTGGGAGACACAGGAATGACTATGAAAGATCTTTGCAAGCTGTAAAAATTCTGGGTTTTAAATCATAATGAAATCTCAACTCCTTACTAGGTATTTAGCAAAAAATGTAACAACAAGGATTGTTCTGGGTACTAAATGAGGAAACCATAAGAGGTAGCAAAGGGAGAACCAAGGATACCTGGTGTTGGCTAATGGACTACCCAGGCAACAGAGCAATTTAAAGTAGTGACAATGTAATCAGATTCTAAATATATTTTGGAAAAAGGTAAGATATGGGATATAAAAAAAAGAGGGGAGAGTTAAGGCTGATGCCAACTTTCTGTGAGTGCTGACTAGATTAGGAAGGCTGTGGATAGAACAGATTTGGGTAAGATGTTTAATTGACAGAAATTTCAAGTGCAGGAGAAAACTCTGGAATGGAAATATATGTTTGGTATTCTCTAATATGGCAATTTTAAAAAACTTTATGACTAGACAAGATCATCAAGAGAACAAACACACAGAAGAGTACTATGCAGATGTCAAGAAGAAAAGAAAGAGGTTATTAGCAAGGGAAACAGAGAAGGATCAATTAGTGAAATCAGTAAGTAAGGATGGTGTTCTTAAATTCAAGTGAACAATGTTTATCAAGAGAGAAGAGATGCTAGCAGACTGCTGCATTTAATAATATGGAGGTCGTTTGGTGATCTTGATAAAGTTTTAGTTGAAGTGGTGGGGGACTAAAATGGGTTTAACAGAGAATGGGCAAAGACAATTTGGAGAAACAGGTGATTCTTCTGAGGTGCTTTCCTTTAAAAGGGAATAAATGGGACATTTAATTCACAGAGTAGGTTGGATTAAGAGAATATATTTTTATAAAATGGGAGAAATAATAGCATCTTTCTATGCTGATGGAAACAATTCAACACAATGTTAAATTGTTGAGTTGTGTTCTGGAGTTTGCAAGAGAAGTATAATGCATGGATCAACTATGATAATAAGGTAGATGCAGATGGAAGTAGGTAGTTAGATTTGGTGAGCAGGACTGTGCTGATGTTCTCTTCTGATTGCTTCTACCTTAGTAAAGTAGAGACAAAAAGCAAGGTCATTATCTGAATATAAGAACAGGAAGAGAAGATATTAGGAGTTTGCAGAAGTATAAAATAGTTGCAAAAACCAGTAAGAGTGGGTTAGGCAGGCCAGATATGATTATGCCTGGCAAAATTAAGGATCCAGGCCATGAATATGAAGAAAAGACCAGGCAGTGAAGCTGTGTGTTTTTCTTTGGACAAATTTAGTAGCATAGGTCAGGAATAGAACAGCAAGAACTATAATCAAGACTGTAGATTTTACCACACAGGTATGATAACGTAAGAAAGGGCATATGTAAATGAGCAATTATCACTGACTATACAATTTAATAGGTGAGAAGGACATGAGTAGACTGAAGGATAAGACAGACAAGGATACTTAGGCAGATAGGTATACTGAGGAACAGCAAAAAAGTACAAGAATCAATAGATTAAAGGTCCCAATGGAGTCAAATAACTATGTACTAAGAGGAAGAGAGATGAAAAACAGAAAGTAGTGGTCAGAAAGCATGGTAGTACGAACTTAAAATTATGAAGACTGTAGTCACTACAATAACAAGCACAAAGGGATGACTACAAATATGGCTGAGATATGATGAAAGGCAAGAATTTTGGAGAAAAAAATTTAAGGAATCAAGATTTCAGGATTTCGGAAAGATAATATATGTGTATATTAAAAATGCCGAATTATAACAGGACTTAATATCTCAGAGTGACAATGACCTAGGGGTTATGATAAAAAGGAATGATACGAAGAGTAAGCAGAAAACAGTAAGAACGAGTAGCAGCAGATGATATAATTTGATGAAAGGAGATAAGAAGTTTAAAACTAGGCATGGTAGTTTACATGTCTGTAATCCCAGCACTGAAGGGGCTGAGACAGGAGGGTTTTGAGTTTGAGACTACCATGGGTTACATGGGGAGACCCTGCCAAAAAAAAAAGTAGAAGTCTGAGATTAAGTATCAGAAGTATTACATAAGAAATGTGGAGGAAAACAACTTACTCAGGAGAGTTCAGATTGAGGCCTAATGTTGTTAAGTCACTTCCTAAAGCAAGATGTACCATTCCTGGGTCTGTCTCTGCTGCCCTGATAAATGTTAACAGGCCAATCATTCCAAATTGGTCCGTCACCATCCCTTGAGGAATGTTAGTAACCCGACCTGGTTAAAAAAAAACAGTCATTTTTTATTTTTGAGGAAAAGTAGAGAAGTTGCACTTTATAATATTGTTGATATATTTATAGAATCCCACCATCAGGTAACACCTGGATCCCTTTTTTCTGCTGATTATTATTTTGTGTTGTTGAACTTTTATCTCCAGGGAATTTGGGTCCATCTGTACTTGAAGCTGTCTTACCAGATGTATTCAAATTCTAGCAAGAAAAAAATTAAATGTGACATTACAATATGAAGTGTATAAATTCAAGTTTATATCTTAACACCTTGCTATTCATTGTTCAGTGTATTTAAGCTCGTAGCAAATTATCACCTGTTTTTCAAGTTCTATATGAAAATTCTGTTTCAACAATTGTCTCTTGCTTTACAAATTTAACCCTGTATCATCTACATTTGAATATTTAAAGGACAAGAAATCTAGGGAAAATTTATTCTTACTTATCTTACATCTTAAGTCACAGGGAAAAAATCTTTTGTTCTCTCTTCACTCAGGGCTTTACACTTAGGAACACACTTTAAATTACATATTCAATGCTTTCATCTAAAAGAAGTACTACCTATAGTACATTATCTACAGTAATACCAAAGCAACCTCCAAAATAGCTAGGAACGTATGAATTTAATTACCTAATAAACTTTATAATATACTTTAATACTATACAAATTACCATCACACACACAAAAAAGCTATTTTCACTAAAATGTGGAGGAAACAAAACACATTTGTTAAGTCAGAAAGAAGCTGAGTTGGCTGAATCAACACAGGTATAAAAATGTGTATAAAGATTCTTCAAGGAGAAAACTTACTCAAGAAAAACACAGCTCCTTAGAAGGCTATATTATCAAACTTCATGGGATCCAGCTGACAGGGACTACAATAAAAGTCTAAATTAACTCTGAGAAGTTCAACAGAAATTTGCAAACCTATATGAAATAGGAAAAAAATAGGCTATCTTCTAAGTTATAAAGCTTTTCCACAGTCTTCAAAAGTTAGATAATTAAACATTTTCAAGATAAACAGTTTTGTAATAGTATTTAGTAAGTAACTGTTAATATAACAAATCTGAAGGGAAGAAAACTAGATCACTCACATATATGATTCTCAGTTACTTACAGATTTACTGTCATCATTACTTGATGTTGGATCTTTATAGCTGGAACCAGGTAATGCTGGAAAATCTTCATTGTGTATTGAGAAGTCCTGGGATTGCTCATTTGCTGGTTTTGTTACCATTCCAACTATGTAATGAAAATAATCAGGAGAATAGTAATTGATATCTCTGATATTTTGCTACACTTATAAAAAGTTAACTTTCCTCACAATAATATACCAAAGTATTTTTTAGCATATGAAATCCTATTTTCAAAAATTAGTATGCAGGGTAACAATGAAGAACCACATTCTGACTTACTGATTAATAATTTAACATATAAAGAAATACAAAGGAATCAGTGGTATAATCCTGTAATTCTAATCTAATGACACATATAGGTGCTTAAAAATGATTTGATATTGGTAATGATTATTATCATTTTTGGCTTAAAGACTTGCTTTAAAAATCTGACTAAATATTAGAAACACCAGCTGACTACCAAATAAAAAGAACAAAATAAATTTGAAAAGAACATGCTGGTGTTCTATTTAAAAGTGACTTACAGAATGAGAAAATTACAATCAATTATAAAACAACTCCATTTTATTTCAGATTTTCTTGGACTCCATGTTATAGATGTAAAACATGCAAGAACTGGGAAATAATCCTCCCACTATACTTGGCATTAGTCAGACCCTTATTGGAGAAGAGTATCCAGTTTGGGGCTCCACAATTCAAGAACGGTATGGAGAAACTAGAGATGGTCCAAGGAGAGCAACGGGAAAGATTTAAGGGATGAAAAAATGGACCTATGAGGAAAGGTTAAAAATATTAGAGTCTGAACTGAGAACCAAGTAGCTAGGTACTCAATTTCCAGGGCAGTTCACTTTTGTTATTTTTCGAAGACTAACTTGGAAACTTTAAAATATGAGCAATTAAAATTTCCCTTCATATTTGAAAACCACAGAACTCCTTGGTTGACAATGGGAAAAAATATTAATTCTATTTTAGAATAACTGACAAACTGATCCCTCTTAAGTGCTGTTTTGCTGCCAGTCTATCAGAGCCTCCCCAAAGAAAACCATTATGTGGTAAGATTATGGCTAATTTGCCATCTCAGTATTTTCATGTCTAAATTGTTACTGCATATGGTCCCCTTCCATTATTTTTATTTAGCCTCTACTAGCCAAATCTCTTATCTATTAGAGACAGTAAAACAGGGTGATGAAGGATATTAACGATGACCCTACAAAAACTATACATATACATAGCCCATGAGCAGCGGTTCTTGGTAGGGGGCAATTTTTTCCTTTCAGGGGACATTTGCCAATGTATGGAAATATCTGTGTCACAATGGAGGGCGGAGTAGAGGGTGCTGGCATCTAGTAGGCTGATGCAAGGAATGTTGCTAAAATTCTATATAAACAGGAGAGATCCCTTACTTCATACCCTACCTCTACAAAGAAATAGTCAGCCCTAATGTTAACTGTGTGTATGTTGAGAAACCTTGGCTTAGAGAAACATCTTCAATGTATATTCATTATTAATCACCAGGAATTTATTCTTTCAAGAAATGTGGGATCAGTTAGGAGAAAAGGCAGACCACAAAATAAATCACTTAGGATGAACTAATACAGAGATGCCAGAAGAAAATAATGTATAAATATCAATGAGGGTACTACCTTTTGGGTTTCTGTACAAAGTTTTACCATAAAATTTTGCTACCATAGAAATCTGAGATGAAAAATCAGTTTTTAAATAGCAATCATGACAAAATTACATTAATGAAATTAGAAAACACAAAAGCGTATGTTTACACACATATATTCATGTGTATGTACATTTGTGTAAGAGCAACTGAAAGCTTTCATTGGCCATCATTAAAAAGCTTGATTACCGTAAGGAGCTCTTCCAGCCAAGGGGTTTATTAATGGAGTTGGGTTACCACTTCCTTCTCTTCGGTTTCGGTCTGCTAATGCTGGAAAATCTGAAAGGTCCAATCCTGTCACATTTTCACTTCCATCTAAATAATAAGAAAGAATACTAGTTACTGATTCCACAAACATTAAACAAGAGTATAAAAACTAAAATGTAATTTGAAACGGCAGTGCCTTCTTCCTAAATAATGCAGAGCACCATAATAGGTGTATGCAGGTGCTCAAAAGATACTTGTCCGTTGATTTCATGTCTAAGAATTTCGTAACAATTGAGGAAAGCAGTATGTAACCAAAATATTAAACTCTCAGATCCTACAGATTTGAGATAATAAGGGTTAAGACTGTACATTATTTCCATTCCCCACTGTACCCCCGGCCTAGGAGATGACAATCTGAAATTATAACTTGTTAGCTAACAAGAGAGACTGCTGGGATATAACTGCTCTTTTAATCATATCTGGAAGGAAGTTATATTGGGAATGCTTAGAGCTGAAGCTATACACAGATACGACAATGACATTATCTCCTGCAAATAGTCAGAAAGATACTGAGGCACAGACAGTGGAAGAAGAAGCCCTGAGGACTTCTGCCCAGTAACCTATTGGTTCCATATGCAAGTATGTGTGTGTGTGTTGGGGATGGAGGTATAAGAAGAGGTGGAAGTAGGGCTCCCACATCTGGGGAGTGGGTGGGAAATAAAGGAATATGATATAAAACCAGTAAGTTTATGTTACCTATTACACAGTAGGCGCTCAATAAATATATACTGAATAAATAAAATTTATTTTGTTCATTTTAAATCAGTCTGCTCATGTTAATAAAAAATTTAACCCTAACTTCTGTGCTTTGCTATTTTAATCATCTTTTTCCTTCACTTTTAGTATTCTTACGACCGTGCACCTTGATTTTTGTAAAACCTAATTTTCTACCTACAATTCAGCTTATGTATAGATTTTCCTTAATGTTTGTTTCATCTCATTTTACAGCCATTTTCAGGTTTTTGCCATTTTCCAATTAATGTTTATTTTTCTGTAAATTTTATAACTAAAAAGAAAATCACCTTTTATCTCAACAAGATTACTTCATTGATAAGTAAACAGACTCAAGTAACACTCCAAGACAGGTGATAATTTAAAACTGTAAGGGTAAAGATAAATTATTTATAGCCATTATTGAAAAAAAATACTTCCATAAATTTTCAATAAAAATATTATTATATGAGCAAGGCAGAAGAAATAAAAATTTTTACATTGTGCCAATTTATAAAATAACCTCTCCTGAATTAGTTGATTACACAGACTCTGAATATACATTAACTTTTAATACACATCTTTAGGTCCTACAAGATGTAAGTTAATATTGCCATAAATTGCTTGAGAATGTATTTTAACCTAAAAACTACCTAGTAAACACCCAAATTTGTATTTTTAGGGAAAGACCTTAAAGTAATTTTTCTAGTAAAATGTATTTTAGTTAAAATAGAATTTGTTTTAAAAATTGTAAAATTTTATAGCAGTATATAAAACTGAAATTCTAAGATGGCATTATCAGATATGCTGTTATTTTTTTATTTCATTCACATCTAGGGGAAAAATACCCCCAGTTTAACTGTGGTATGTAGCCTGCTTTCATAGACACCAAAGTATGAAAAAAAGTACATTTTTGAAGGCAATCAAATATAGTACTTTGTAGTATTTTAACATCTTGAACAAAAACCTATTATAATCGAGTGCTAAAATTTATAATTTCTCAAAGGTTTTAATCTTGTTTGATTAACCTACACTATTAAACATACATTAACATTTAAAAATTAAAAGCCCATAGCCACAAATGGCATTTCCTTTTAAATCTTCTTATGGTTCTAACATACGCCTCTTCTCACAAATTGTTCTTTCACCTACTACTTCATGTATATTTCCCTCCCAATAATCCTGCTCAATTTTGCTCCTATAATCCTAACAAATATCCCTTATTTCCCTTCTCATGCAAGGGAAATAAGTCCAGTGTGAACTCTGTGAAACAAAATAGTGACATTGTTCCCTGTTCTCTTGTCTGAAGTAGTTGATAAAAGAAATAAACCAACAGATTGCAGTTTTTGTCAAAATCAGAATTGGTTTTTCATGTAGCTCAATTTTGAATCTTATACATAAAACTGGATCAAAAATTCCTAAAGGTTAAATGCCAAAATTAGTTCTAAAACTACTAAGCAAAAAAACCTAATAAGTGCCAAAAAATTGTAAAGAACTTCTTCAATCTGGGTCTCTACAGTCATGTCATACCATCCAAAGTAGTCAAGACTACTGTTCTCACAGTGACCAAGCTGAGGACAGGAAAAGTTTTGAAGCAGAAAAATGATTCTAAGGCATAAATACAAGACTAAGTTAATGTTTAGGCACTCACTAGGTGTTAAGAAAATAATCCTGATGTTAAACACAAAGCACTAAGATATTACTACGCCAAGTGAAAAAAATTTAATTTCTGTTTATTTAATTAAGTCAGATTCCTGACAACTTGTATAAGTCTACCATTTAACAATTAAAAAAATCCTATAATACTTCAAGACCAGTATGCTGAATTGCTTATATTTCAGTAATCTACCAAATTTTTAATAAGGGTACTAGCTCCAGAATAAGCTTACCTGTTCCATTAAAAATGTTACTTGATAAGGAGTTATTCATTCCAAATGCCTGATTCCTGTTCATTCCAAATCCAGACATACTGGGTACATAGAAAATAATTTTAGATATGCAGTAAGAACACTAACTTTGAGATGAAGAAAAACAGAAGTGTATACTTTTGGTCTCCTCATATAAAACAACAATGTTTCAAAACCAACTCTAATTTTTATTATTCTGAGTTTAATCTTTATTTTTATCTAAAATTTCTCTGCAGTCCCATAACAAGTGAGAACCAAAATACCTTAAACAGATTAATTTTTAAAAAATTAAAAAACAAGGACTCTATATATGAAACATGAAGAAAACCGATTAAGGGTACCATTTTATGTCCTTGGCAAGCCACCTTACTGGATATTATTAAGTACCTAATGTTAAGAATACTTTTTTTCTTCCCTTATTGGTGAAGCATGCTACTAACTTTTTAAAATAGTAGTTAATACTTTCCCATACAGTGCCTACTTTTCCCAAATAGACTAAAAACTCTTCAAAGACACAATCCATATCCTATCCATCCTTGAATCCTCTGTCCTTTGGTGTTCATTAAGACATAGCAGGCACTCCATAAATGTTGAGTTGACCTGAATTAAATGTTTTTCTTTAATTGAATTCAGTGTTCTAAAACACATCATTCTTAGTTAAACAGAGTTTAGCTTTAATCTATTTAATAGGAAAAAAAATTTCTCTCTAGTACCCCCAATTCTGAATTAGGGCACAACTAGTATTTTGTAAATAATTATTAATGACTCCACGTTTTGCACAAGCTTAACAATGACAAGAACAGAAAATGAAGCTGAATGTACAGCATGGCCAATCCAAATAATTAAGGATGTCAATAAGAACTGCTAATGCAGATTCTACAATTAAGTTATGTAACTATAATATCAAACAATTTTCTGATAAGATAGTTTATCAGTGTTGAGCAGATTTAACCTGTTTAAAGTGACACTATTTAGTTTTCTCCCTAAATCTGTACAGTTATGGCCAAATAACTTTTTGAGAAAATATGCAGCTGGTGAAACAATACTCTAGAGTAGGTGTATCAATGGAAGTGTTTGTTTACACCATGTTTGAACTGCTGAGAAAACAGGGACCCTCAAACATGCAATAAGTGCTCAAGATAAAAACATTTTATAGTAAATGCAACTTATTAATAGTAAAAATAAGCAGGGTTGAAGAGATTAATGTTTGATTGACAATTTATATGAAAAGAGATTTTTTTTAAAGCAATTAAAATGTGGGAAAAAAAAGCAAAAATTTAAATATACATTCAACGAACAATACAAAAATGCAGAAAAATGTAATAAAGCCCAAGCAATACTACACATTTAGGAAGCCATGAAAGAGATGAGAATTTTGATATCCCTTTACAGATAATTTTTTAATTAAAAAAGCAACAAAATTACAGGAGAAATACTCATGAGTGACATAAAAGAATAGGAGTTTATTGGATTAAGATTAAACAGGAAATGTGCTAATAACCTATGTTAACCCAGATTTTGTAAGTACTAGATAAAAGTAAATAAAATAAGCATGATGATAACTTAGGCAAGGTTCTTTTCTCCTATAGCCCCTCAGCTTAAATGCTGTTTTTGCAAGAGGGCCTTGTATTTTAATACGTAATTTTCACATAAATTACCCAAATAGCTGGAAAATGCTAACAAAATGGATATATTTTATTTTTTGCAAATAATTTAATAATTTGCATATTATATGCAATAGTACCCCAAAAAGGAGTGAAAAAGCACAATAGCTTACATTTTGTTTTGAATCTCTAGATACAATACTATTACAGACTATAACCATATAGAATATAACTATTCTAACACATAATCTTAAAAAGTCTTGGGTAAGTCTCCAAAGTACAAAACTGTAGTTGAGAAGGTATTTAACCAAGGTGTAACTAAAGCAAGGCAATAACAGTCAAATACATCTTCCTCCATTCCTACTCAGGAACCTGGATCTATTACCACGCAGGTGACCAGCCACACTTAATAAAAGGACATATCAATAAAAGTCTGCCTGGTATTAACTCAAGAATAATCCCTTTCTAACAGCAAAACATATTTGATGTGCTTTCTAAAATCAAGCGTATATTCATGAAAACATATTCTTAGCTTTGGGAGGGTTACTCTGTGCTATGTAACAGAATCTTTGCTCATATAAATGATGGAACACACTTATGAGACAGAAGCCAAGACTCAAGAACAAAGTGTTGAATATGAAAAGGAAAATCTGAGGATATCCCCCAAAGACAATTATACACAGTATCAATAAACATCTTACCTGTTCACAGTAAAAGGCTGTCGAGAAGGCTGCTGCTTTGGCATACATATTATGCTTGGCGAGCTTCTGTTGGGGCTACCTAACCCTGAACTGCTCATGCTATTTGTCCTGCTAGGAATTCCAATGCCCTGACCAACCTGGGAGTGGTTCATCATATTCCTAGGATTCATAGGCAAAATACCCCTGAAAAAGAAGTCCATTATACTAAATAAGCTCTCTATAATCACTCATTAAAATTCTCTATAAATAATTAATTGGTTTAACCCTAGAATCTCAAATATACTTTTAAGTTGTATTCCTAATTTTTTTTTAATTTGTCTAGTCATCCTGGCTCTTAGAAAAGAAAAATCAAAGTAAACAAATAAATAAAACTGGGCAAACTGTAGTGGAACTAAATAAGGTGGTATCTAATGAGAGAATTACTGATGTGACTATGATGTAAATTACACATGTATTTCATTTATATATTTAGAATATCATTCAAATTTCGTGTCATTCTATCTTCTTCATATTAAAATGAATAATCTGTATCTTCTGTTTTATTTTACTCACTACAGCAATGGATATGTGGTGAGAGAGCAAGGATCAGAATTATCTGGGGAAGTCATTTTAAATTGTGTATCTTTGAGGAAGAGGGATATATATGTGGCTTTTACTTGTAAAAGCTCCCCAAGAGGTGATTAAACCTTGTTCCACCCAGTTGACAACTAGTAGGCTAGCTGCAGGATAAAAACATCTTGCACTGTATTATCAATTTGCAATGAAATAAAATGAGCATAGGTATCTTTTTTTCCTCTCTCTGTAAAAGGCACTGAACCAGAAAATCAAATTAACTTATAAAAAATAAATCTTGCTTATTCTACAAAGATACATTCTGAGAAATAGTCTGGTCCATCAATAAATACCTGCTTGGAGATGGAGGCGTGTGAAGTGACATTGTTGGTACCCCTGTTGTTGGCGTGACGTGGCTCGGTAACTGAGTGCCTTGTGATAAGCTGCGATTTAACTGAGGGGTATTGTTGCTCATTCCCCTCATTGGAAGGCCTAGTGCACCTAATAAAAAAATTCAGAAGAAGGAAATTCATTGCCATCAGGAATGAAATTGGTATCCATCTTCTGGAGTTGGCAGTTTAAAACATCTTTAATTGACCTAAGGTAATATGCAAATTTTTAAGTGGATATATTCAATTCACTCCAAATGGACTGATTTTAACAAAAAAATTTCTACTCTGAAATTTAATATTTTGAATATTTTTTGTATTACTTTCCTATTTCTGTTTTACAAAAAGTATGTCAATGATTATAACATGTTACAATATTATGAATGGATATTATTTCAAATTTAAGGGCATATTTATAAAATTTGCACATACAAATATGCCTTTCAGAAATTTTGCAGTCTGTGTTTTTAATTTTAATTTATAACTGATGCATACAAAAAAGGCATTCATCCCCACTTTGCTGAAATAGCTTTAATTTTTATCTGATCCTTTTAAAATGCATTTTAGAAAAAGTCTTATCAATAACACATATTTCTCAATATTACAATTTTTACAAACCCAACATAAATTGACAGCAGCTGTTAAAAACCCCAACCTGGTATAGATAAGAGACAAAAATTTAAGACATTTAAAAAGATTTCAAAGTATAATGACCCTATATTTATCTAGCACATGTAGGTCTAGATGCAGGGGTGAACATGTTCAATAGGTGTCATTTTTAAGACCCCCTAAGGATTTACTGTTCTGACATAAAATATAAAACTTAACCAATTTAGACAAACTTATTTTTGTTGACATATTTACTAACTTTTATTCAGGTAATATGAATGTAGATTTTCTTAAATATACAGACTATCTGGATAGCTAGTATTCTATACATGCTTCTCTTTTTTCTCTCTCAAAGAATGTACACCTGTCATTTATGTTGTCATCCTATCTATGAATGCCTCCTTTCCTCATTTTCCTGATCCCACTTTTTAGTAATTTCTGTTTGCAGTCTGATGAACAATGGTACAGTGGTTAATCAAATTTATTTTGAACTGCAGTTAAATAAAAGCAAAGACAGAGTGAGAACTAATCAGTAAATAGATGGGTTTAGTATTAGGGATTTAAGGAGATTCCCCATCTCCCTTTTGGTCTAAGAATTTTCAAAGACTACTTTGAAATTATGACCTCCAAATAAATGGAGTACTATATATGCCACGAATATTTTCTTTCAAACATCTTGCAAAGTTTATCGTTGGCATAAAAATATATCACTTTCTAAGTGATCACAAACACTTCACTGAGAGGTATCTAAAATTTGGCAACCTTGGAATTTAAGATACTTGAAAGAAACTGAACTATACTGTATGTTGGCTTTTGTCACTATATGTATGTCTACTCACTATAAGTTTTGTAACCATAAGAATGCCACTGGGTGCAACCACTTTCTCTAAATCTGGGACAAAAAAGGGAGGAGACTAAAAATCAGCCTATTTTAAGATTTCTGAAGAAGAAATCAGTTTTCTCTCTTCCTCAAATATACCAGTTTTCTTGTAGGACCTCAAGTGCTCCCATAATGAACCACCAAAATCACTTTTCACATTACTTGCTTCCCAACATTTATTTGGTGCTTACTATGTGGAATGCCCTGTGCTACCTGCAGTGAACAAGACAGAAAAGGCTCTCAGGCTCAGGAAACTTAAAAGTCTATTCCACAAACACAATGCCCTAAAGTTGGCTATAGCTGCAAATTTTCAACAGGAATTTGTTTCCTAGTTACCGATGATCAAAAACTATACAATTTTAGGATTTAAAGATCACATTTAAGTGATCCAAAGTTCACATTTTACAGATAAGGAATCTGAGCCTCATATAAGTTTAACTGACTTCTCCAAGATGATATCAAGAGTGATTAGAATTTAGATCTCTTAACTCCTTGTGTTCTATAATAACAGCATTCTGGAGAGCCATTAACAACATTGAGAGGCTACTGAATTGCAACACCTCTCATCTATTTTTTCTCCACCTTTTTCTCTTATGAGTATGTTTGATATTCTTCAAAAAATTCTTTTAAGTCTTTTGTTCACTTTCCTTCCTTTTTTTCCACCCTCTCATCTCATTAACTGTCACTTTTCTCTCTTCTAGTTTTACTCTTCCTTTTTACCCATCTCATATAACACTATAAACATTTAACTTTTCAAACAAATCTATTATACCTTTTGGGCCCTTTTAAAAATTGAAACCTCTACAAAAAATTTGCTAAGATGTTTCTACTTTAACTTCCTATATACATACTATTCTGTGTTGTACAATGAAAATTTATTATTTCAGAAATATTTTAGGTAATGTAGATAATATATTAAAATATTTGGAGCAGGAAACTACAAAGTGTCAGGCTATTTACTCAATTATCAACTGGCAAATCTGAACTAATTTACAGTTCTAAGAGTGAAGTATGAAATAAAGAAAATAAAATACTGCTTAATTTTGGCCTTCAAAATTTATCTTCATAAAACAGCTAAAAAAGTCAAAAGATCTAAGTTTCATTTTCTTGAACTAGATATGAAAAGATCAAAAGAAAAATCTATCATTATAAACTGGATCATCAGTTCTTAGTACTTGTTATTTTTAACTTAAAATTTGAAGTTCTTCAAGTGAAATTAACAGCACTTACTAGGACAAAGATTTATGTTTAGGAAAAAATACACTAAGTCATTAAATTTGAGGTAAATAAGTCAAACTATTACAACTGGATAGGTTCAGGGGAAGAAAAACTTTAATTATAAATAGTTACACAAAGTCATCTAAATTAGAATAATCACACCAAATCATCTCCAAAATATTAGGCTGAAAACAGGACACAGATTTTAAAAAAAGCAAAAACTCAAAGATTGCGGGGAGGGGTGCATAAAAGAACTATAACAGACAAAAATATAAATGTGTATACATAAACTTGTGCATGAGTAAGCAACTAGGAAAGCAATATTTATTGACAACCCTACAATCAAGTATTATGCCATTACTTTATCTTATTTTCTTCTTTTTAACAATCCTATGGGGAAGGGGGTTACATTGACTTAAGCACAGTGCACATACAGGTATAACAACAAGGCAAAAATCCCACTGAACAATGAACAGACACCTAAAAAATGAAGGACAAGCATGAAAAACAGGTCATGCTAACGGGAAGTCATTAATGGTAAAAGAAGGGAGTAAAGACAGTAAATATGTTTGATGTACTTTGTATACAAGAATGAATACAGAATATTTAAATCTGTTGAAAGAAGAAAAATGGAGGGGATGAACCAATTTGGGAAGCAATATATATTCTACCGTAGCATGGAAATGCTGTAATGACCCGCTCTGTACAGATACCTTAAACAAAAATGTCTTTTCTTCAAAAACAGAGGGCAGGAAGGTGAAACAGGTCCCATCTGGGGGTTGGTACTAGTGGGAGGAGGAAGGATACAAGGAAAATGTGAAGGGGGGTGAATATGCTAGAGATGAATTTTTATGCTCATGTATAAAAATGGGAAAATGAGACCTATTGAAACTATTCTGAGAATGGAGGAGAGAGATAAAAGAATGATGGAGAGGGTGAATTTAACTGAGATAAATTGTAAACACCTTTGTAAATGTCACAATATACCTCCAGTACAACAATGATAATACAAATAAAAGAAAAAAATGCTATAGGGGAAGTATATATACCCCTTCCCTCATTTTTTATAGCCAAAGAATGAACAACAAAAACTTCTAAAAAAAGGTGAATTCTGAACCAATTTTTTCTTTTAGAAAGACTACATCAACATATTCTAAATAGATAGATCATCTTATTCAGCAGGGTGCTAAACAATTAAAGAATGAATTGAATTTTTTATTGACCCTTTTTCAGAAACCCTAAAGAATATGAGCTAAGGTATTATTCCATGAATTATTTCCATTGTACTAACTAATTAACAGCATGTCTTAAGCATGTAAGATATGCCATCCTGTATTCAATCAATCTTCTGCTAGCAATGAGTAATATTAACACTATAAGCTATATGAAAAAAATTCAATCATAGCAAGCAAATCCCTGAATACTCACACTTTAATGAAGTCCCTCTAACATTTTTACTAAGAAGGAGGGCGGGGGGGGGGGGTTGCTAATTGATACAAGAAAGTTTAAAGTGCTCTCTTTTGCATTCGTGAAGCATTCAGCTTCCTGCAGAAACTCACTATCATGCTCAAAAAAGGTGCTTTATCTCCATGTATTCTTACCACCAATCTGTCCTGTACTGAACTGATTATCATTAATCTTTCTTGTAAAATTACTTCATTATGCAATTTTCTTCTTTAAATTCAAAGGGTTGAGGAATAGAAAAGACTTCAGGCATCATCCAGGCAAGTTATAGATGGAAGAACTCAAACCACCAGGCATTAAATGATTCAATGATCCAATTTCTAACTCCTACTTCAATGCTCTTACAATCAACATCTGTTTCCAACATTTTATAGAAGGTGCTAACTTTCGGATTGCTGAGGGAGCCACAATGTCCAGATCCTAACTCCAGAAACTGTAAGTTAGTCAATTCTGGGTAATTCATGGGCAATAGGATTTTAAAAACCTGTTTCTAGAGAGTGCAACTGGGGTTGAGAACCACTGGTCTATAGTATTATAGCCAATCACAACTTAGTCTTTAGAATTCTGTCAGGACTCAAAAGATTTTTTTTCCTAGTCTTAATTAACAGTTTACTGTTTATGTACTACACATTTGGTTAATAATCTTCTTCCTTCTTTCCCTACTCCCCTCTTCAAATCTGTCCTTGTACCTTTAAGACTCATATCATTCTCCTACCAAGACTATGCTCCCTTCTCCTGCACTATACAGATACAGAAGACTATTTAAAATAAATGCTATGACTGAGGTATTTTCCCATAGTGTGTTTGAATGCACACAAGAGGAACCACTAAGTCAAGCCTTAGGAATAAGTAGGTCTGGGATCAGAAAACGTTTCTTGGAGGCAGTATGTGAATTAAATAATGAAAAAGATGTAACCAGTATTTAGTGGTGGCAGTGGTGG